GTCTGCTTCTCCCTCTGCCCTCTTCCCTCTCGTGCTGTCTGTCTCTCATTCTCTCTCTCTCAAATAAATAAATAAAATCTTAAAAAAAAAATAAATAAATAACTGCAGGACTCAGTCCTGACTTATGACTACGAGGTGTGCCAAGATGTTGCGGGAGCACATGGTCTAGAAGGCCCCGGAGGGAGGGACATCCTGGAGGTGGGTGGGAAGGCGTCCTAAGCCCCGATTCAAGCGGGGGGAGGTGAGGGGCCCACCGGTGCCCCCTGCCACCCCCTCAGGCCTCCTACCTTGGTCTTGTCATCCACCACTCGGAGCCCGTCGGCTGACACCCAAAGGACAGACTTCACGGACTTCCGGCCCATCTGGGGCAGGGGAGGAGGATAAAGGGCCTGGTCAGGGCTGCCTCCTGGGGTCTGAGCTGGCCCCTTCCCGGCTCCACCCCACACTCACCGCCTTCAGCTTCTTCACGGCATCTTCACACACATGCATCCCCCGGGACTCTTCCACCTCCACATGGCCCAGGTACTTGGCAGGGAGGAGACGGGAGCATGGAAATCAGCACAGTAATCAATACCTTCCCAGTGTCCCCTGAGCAGCTGTGATGCGTAACACGAGGTCCCTCGCCCATCATACGTATGAATCCACTCTGCACCTCAGCCCTGTGAGGCGGGTACTCTGCTCCCATACCAGATATACAGATGAGAATGCTGAAGCAGGCGTTCTCTGATTCCCATCTTGCCTCTATTCCTGGGCCTTAACATGTTACCCTCTTCCTTCTGGACGCCAGTGTCTGCATCTCTGGGCCTCAGGACTGGCCCAACGATGACCGATGGGGTGAGCGTACCCCAGCTCCCTCACCCTGTGGCTGGGATGGCTCTATTTCCCAGCATTCTTCCCTAGGGCTATTGGGGTGCCCACAGCTGCAGGTTAGTGACACACCCTTTATGGGCTGCCTACCCTTCCTCAGCCCCACCAGCGTCTCCCACACCTCCAGATGGACCCCTCACACTCCATGTCTGCTTCTGGGGGAAGGGAAACACAGTGGTTGTGACCACAGCTGATGGGGGCTGAGTTGGGATTTGAACCTGAATCCTGCTGTCTCCCTCACAGAAGCGCAGTGTGTGTTGTGAAGAGTCGTCCAGTGCCTTGTGGAAATTGTGAGCTCCCACAGAATAGGGTGACTCCAGGAAGAAGGTACCCCCCACTCCCCAGGTAATACCTTCCTGGTACAAGAGAATATGTGTTGGGTTTTGATCCCGCCTTTGAGGGTCCCAGACCTTGGGGTCCTGCTCCAGCAGGCTCCACAACTCTTTGGGAATGTGACCTGTCTTCTGTACAGAACGGGGCCTCAGCCAGCCCGCCCAGCACCAGGGACCCGCGAGCTCACAGCTTCTGCCCGCGCCCCGCCCACATCCCCGCCCGCGCCCCGCCCACTCACCCTGACCGGGAAGCTGCACGTGCCCTTGCGTACCGCGTCCTCGTCTGCTTGCCACTGGTGGGGGCGCGACGCCTCGGGCACGTAGGCTGGTTTCCGCCGCCGCAGGCTCTGTCGTAACTTATTCATGGTGCCCGCTCCTTCTGGTAACACAGGAGAGGGGCACGCAGGTTAAGGGCGGGGGCTGGAGGCATGGGCTCCAGGGGGATGGATACAGTGCTCAGGAAACATGGGGTCAGATAACATGGATTTGGGTTACAGGGTTGGGGAGGGTCACTGGGTCAAAGGACATGGCATTCAGGGAGCATGCATCAGCAACAGTCAGGGGACAGGGTAAGGCAGGGGAATGCCAGAGTCAGCAGTGGGGCTTCAGAAGAAAAACTTCAGGCCAGAGTACATGGAGGTCTGGGATGGGGGGGGTCATGAATCACAGCTTTTAGCAGTCTGGAGATTAGGGATGTGAGACAGGAGGTATGAGGATCCAAACTAATGGGGAGTCAAGACATTGGAGGGCACAGGGGTTAGAAGGCATAGGGGCCACGAGTCATGAGGACAGGGGTTTTAGGGGTAGGAGGTCAGGGGATGAGAGGGTCAGAGAGCATGAGAGTTGGGAGTTGCATGGGTTCGATGTGGGGAGACTCAGAAAGTCCAAGGATTGAGGTCCAGAACCCAAGCCAGAGGGTGTGGGGGCTGCGGGCTTGTCTCTGTCCCTCTGAGGTCTGCCCCTCTGTCAACTGTGTCTAGTCGAAGGCAGGAGCCCCCAGGGTGGTGTGCACCTGTGAGCATCAGATGAAGTTGGGGGAGTGGAAGTGGCCACAGTGGAGGTGGGGACAGTCTTCACTGACTGATAAGCCATCCTGACAGTCCTAGGAGGAGCATGAGGGGCCAACCAGGATAGAGCACCACCAGCAGATGGGGCCTCTGTGTGTGTATGTGTGTGCAAGCAAGTGTGCAACTGGTATATTCCTGAACAGTGTCTAGATCTGAGCATACAGTGATAATCTATGAGTGTATTTCTGAAGACTGTATGTACAGAAGGACACAGGTCTGAGAATGGTTGTCTGTGAAAATGTGTCTGGGAGTGCTGTCTGTGAGGGGGTCAGTGTCCAAGAGTGTGGTTGTTGTCCGTAAGTGAAGGTGCCGGAAGGTTGTTGCTGAAGGGTATCTAAGTGTGAGAGTGGTCATGGACTGTGTGTCAGGGAACATTGCCTGTGAGCATGTGTCTGAGCACGAAGCTGTTGTCTTCAAAACGGTGTGTCCATGACCGTTGTTTTTGAAGCTGTGTGTCTATGTGCGGGTGTGGCTATTGTCTTCGATAGCTGTCGCCTAGGACAGTGTGTGACTGAGTTATCCGAGAGTCCGTGTCTCTGGCCAAGAGTGCCGCTGTTGGTGGTGAGGCCGTGTGTCTGTGGCTTTTGTTTGGGAGAGTGTGTGTGTCAGAGTGTGAAGCTGTTGTAGAGAGTGTGGGTTCATGCGTGTTGTTCTGAGGGTGTGTCTCTGCCACCGAGTATCTGGGTAGATGTGTGAGAGCAGGAGGTTGTTGTCTGAGAGTGTGTTCATGAGTGTTATTTGTGAGGGTGTGACTGACGGTCACTGAGTGTGCAGGGAAGACATTCGAAGGTGTCCACTCATGAGTGTGATTAAGCCCGTGTGAGCACAGGGACAGTTCCCCTGGTTGTGCGAGGCAGACCCACGCACTCACTCAGCCCTTGCCCTGGCCCCAGCTGGTCACTCACCTGGCTCCGTCCTGGAGGTTTCGGGGGGCCCCGGGGCCCCACAGGGGGCTGGGGGCAGATGCAGCTCAGGCCTCCTGGGTCCGCCCTGCCCAAGGAAGGGAGGAGAAGGTGAGAAACTGGCTTGGGTTGGGGCTCAGTCCCCTACCTCACCCCCTCTTTGGACAACAGCCAAACCCCCCCCAATCTCAGGTTCCCTGATGAGAACCCCAGTTGTCATAGCAACTGTTACTAGGGAGACCAGCCACCTGGTAGCAAGGGCCCAGGAATGAGTAGGTGTGTTTCGGGGGGCATGTGTTGGGGATGTCCTGGCCTCAGGAGGCCCTCAGTACCCAAGGGGATGGTGTGAGGAGGGAGTGGCCTTGACCCCTAGACACATGTCCAGGCTACACATAAACATACTGTCACATGCGTGCATGCATGCAACTCAGGTCTACAGTGGTCCCCAGCCCCTGGGCACAGGTCCGCACGTGTGACTATGCACAGAAACCACCCAGCCGCACACGCCGCATCACATAGACACACGTAAACGGCGTCTGCCACTATCACCAGCTGGTCACACATCCGTGTTCACAGACACAGACGTTTGTCCATGTGAACAGCAAGCCCCAGCCTGCCTGGGCGCTGCCACAAACATCTGGTGACATCAGCTACTGGATGTTTGGTCGCTTCTTGTTTTCTCAGCCACGTACAGAGAGCCGGGCCCGGGCACACGCACCGGAGCAGGACTCCCTCCCAGTGACATCTCCTCAGGTCCCTGCCTGACACACTCGTGTTGCAGCACCTAGAGTCACACCGGTCAGAGGTCGCCCATTAGCACGGAGTCACGCATGGACACGGTCCCAGCCACACACACCTGTCACACATGGCTCCACCGCTGCCTGATGACATGTGGTCATGGGTGCACGCAGACACACCGACACGCATTCGGTCCCACCCCGCCACAGCCACAGGTGCTTCACGGTCACACACACCCAGTCACAGGGACACACGTGTGGTCACAGCACCAGCCACACCTAACATGGAGTCCTCCCCAGCCAACCACACACAGAGACACGGATGGCCCTGGCCTGTGCGGGAAAGAGGACCAGGCACGCACACTGAAGACATGCATAGAACCACCCAGAAACGACTGTCCCTCGGGATGGCCAAGCTCAGGTATGGCCAGACGGTTGCTGGCTCAGAGTTCCAGCCATACGCGTTTCAGAAATGGCCATGTGTGCCAAGCCACACAGCATCAGTGTCCACGTTACCCAGCCATACACCCTGGCCATGACACAGTCCCCCAGTGTCCCATCCCCGGCTGCACATGTCGCCCCATCACAAACACACAGCCTCTCTTCACGCAAACACACAGGTCACAGGGAGAAGCCTGTGGCCACATACAGTCGCAGCGCCATGTAGACAGACGCACAGTATCTCACACAGAGAGACATCAGCACACAATTTCTACGTCACACGTCATAAGCACACAGTGACGAAGAGACAGAGCTCAGAAATGCGGTGACCCGGACATAGGGCTCATAGCTGCGTCTACACAGAAGACACAGTTCCTGGTAGAGCCGTGTACGCAGTCAGGAGAGTCACCCGGTTACCAAATCACCTAGATGGAAACCCATGTGGTCCAGCACGCACACAGGGACACACACACACACCAGAGAGCCACACGGCTATAGACACGCCTACTCTCTCGGGCCACGACATACACTTATGTACATAGAATCACCCAGGGTCGCAGACACACAGGTCACACACAAATCTAGAAGCCACAATCACCTAGACACCCCCCCACACACACACAAACACAGTACCTGGTGCCACCACACACAGACACAACTAGAGCTTGAGTCACACACGATGAAATAACCCTCAGTCAGGGGTTCAGACCCCTACTCCAGTCTTTCACCCAAATCCCACGCAGACACAACTATAAATGCCCACAGTCACTTAGTATCAACACACAGAGCTAGATGGAGACATAGATGTGACCATGAACACACAACCGTTGTCCTACACGTCACAGGGCCATCACACAACCGGGCACCATGTCTTCATATATAATGGCAGGCACATACCCAGAGTTGCAGGGACAGTTGTGTGTCACATAGACATATGTGTGACCCACGTATACAATCAATTATAGACGCAACCACAAACACTCACAAATCACCGGGAGAGTGGCACATGGCCACAGTCATAGACACAACTCCACGTACACAGTCCCAACTCCACCCACAGCTTGTCGCCCACACACTCGCCCAACCCCAGACCCAACACACACACTGTCACAACCCAGTTATAGTTACCAAAGCACACACCCAGGGTCACAAAAGACGTAATCACAGACACAACCACACGGTCGCAACCATGCACACGCACACCCAAACACAGACTAAAAAGTACAGGGTTCTGCACAAGGAGTAGCTGTCACACACACAGAGTCACACAAATGCTGGGGTCACACACAGACACCATCGTACACATTACTAGACACAACCACAAAACACAGACACACGCACAGGATTCCTCAGAGTCACCAGCTCCAGCACACACACACACAGCCACGGTCACACAAACACCGGGTCACACTCTTAGCCACCTCCCTATCGCTTGCTTCCCCCCTTCCCCCCAGGTACCACACACAAAGCCGCCGTCACCCGCAGACGCTGCAGACAGACAGGGCTGCACTGGGTCCCTGGGGAGCTGCCCCCCACCCCCAGCCTGAATCTTGGAGCCTGGGGGGCCATACCCAGGAGAGGGAGGCGGCACATTGTCTGCGGGTGGGGCCGCTCCCAGGCAGCTTGGCAGCCCCAGGGACCCTTGACCAAGCCCTTGGGGGTTGCCTGAAATTTCCCTATTTTATTCAGGCTGGGGGGCGGGGGGTGGAGTCCCAGGCACAGGGACCTTGTTTTGAGAAGGGGCTATTCCTGGGACGCCGCCCAAGGATTGGGGGGGATGCTGTGCTCAGGACGTCTCTGAGGCCTGGGTACAGACTGTGCCTGGAATCCCCCCCAGGCCTTGGCTTGGTGGGGAAGCTGTGCCCAGGGACCCCCATCCTCAGCACCTTGCCTAGAGGGTTGTTGTGCTCAGAGACCACCTCAGGCAGGGAGGGGTAGGGATTGCGTCTGCTCTGGAACGGCCTCCTGGAGGCCTTGGCCTGATGTGGGGTTGTGTCCTGGACCCCATCCCCAAAACCTTGCCCAGGGAGTTGTACCTAGAATCTGTCCCCCTGTCCTTGATTTTTTTTTTGAGGGGCAGGTCTATGTCCAAGGGCCTTGGCAAGAGAGGGCCCGTGCCCCGAACCCCAGTCTCTCAAGCTTTGGCTTTGAGGGGGCCTGTTCTGGACCCCCACCCAGGCCCACCCTCCCCAGCCTTGGCACCCTCTCTCCATCCGGGCGCCGCGGCCGCCTCCCACCCTCCGCCACATCAGCAGCGGCGCCGCCCCCCACCCCAGTCCCCCTCTCCCGCCCTTCTCACGCTGGCCGCCGCGCTGCGGGACATCCAGGGCCCGGGCGCCCCCGCCTCCCGCGGCCCCGGCTGGGCCCGGATCCCCGAGCGCTGCTGCTCCTGTGGCGGCGGCGGCGGCGGCAGCTCGGTCTGACGCCGGCCGGGGCCGGGGGCCGGGGGAGGGTGTGGGATGCACGCGCGCGAGCCTGCTCCGCTCCCCGGGAGGATTCCGTTCCGGGGGCGGGGGAGCGCCCCTCCTGCCTGGGCTCCCCGCCCCAGCCCCGCCCATTGGCCCGCCGCCTGCGGGATATGCAAGAAAACCCCGCCCCGGCCCGGCGCCTGGCCGGCTCAAGCCCCACCCCCTGGTCTGCAGGCCACGCCTACACGCAGATATGACCCCGCCTCCCCTGGTGCGGCCACCGCCCCGCCACGCCCATTGGCCAGTCCCTGGCTGAGCCAGCATGTGAGCCTCGCTGAGACCTTCCCCCAGGCCCGTCTAGGCGTGGGCTCTCTTCCCCTCCGTGACCCTTGACCTCAGGTCCCCTTCTGTTCCATGTCCGTAAAAGAGCTGCATCAAGAAGCCCTTTGCCGCCCCACATACCCAAATCTTCCAGCTAACCCCACGGTTCTCCCAGCCCAGCGGGGGCGGGCAGAAGCGGTGACGAGGCACTTTTTGCAAGGAAGGGGAGGGGGAATGAAGAGACCCCGGCGTTCTAGTGCGTGAGCCGTTCGGCTTCGGCGGCGGGGGCGCCGGGGTGGGACCAGGGCGCGGTTCTGGCCACTACTGCATCCCCGCTCCCACTCAGTCCTGTGGGTTTGGCAAAGCAGCTGGCAGGGGCATTACGGCCCATTAGCGAAGGCGAGGTTGCGAGGTTGCCGGGAGCCGAGGGGAGGGAGCGGGGAGCCTGGGAGGTTGAGAGGGGGGGCAGGCCTTCTCAGCTGCCACAGCCTTTCGAGCAGGTGGTCAGC